TATCCCACAGTGCCCCGCGTGTTGCTGTCCCATTCACACCGCCGCTATCCCAGAGTGCCCCGCTCGGTGCCGCTCCGGTACCGCCACTATCCCACAGTGCCCCGCGCCGCCGCGGGCCCCGTGCAGCCATGGCGTACCGCGGGCAGGGCCAGAAGGTGCAGAAGGTGATGGTACAGCCCATCGTATCCTGCCGCGAGCTCCTCAGGGCGCGGGGGAGCGCGGGGAGGCCGCGGGGAGCGCGGGGCGGGCGGGGGAGGCTCGCGGGTTTCATCGCCGGGATAACGGCTCCGTCATTGCTGAGGGCCGCGGGTTCCCCCTCAGGGGATTTGGGGTTCACCTCTCGGGGGTCGCGGTCTCCGGGAACCGCGGGTTTCAGCCCCCGAGCCTCGTGGGTTGCACCCCTGGGGGATGCCGGCTCTCAGCGGCCGGGGGCGGCGGGTCCCATGGCCGGGCGGTGTCCCCGGCGGCTCCTGGCTGTGCTGTGCCCTTAACTCTCGGCTCCAGAACCTGATCTTCCGCTACCTGCAGAACGTGAGTACCGGCGGCTGCACCGCGGAGTCACGGCGGGCTTTGGGTGGGAAGGGACCTCAGACCCCATCCAGTGCCCCCCATTCCATGGCAGGGACACCTTCCCCCATCCCAGGCTGCTCCAAGCCGGCCTGGGACACTCCCAGGGATGGGACGGCCACGGATCCTCTGGGAATTCCATCCCAGTCCCAGGGAATGATTTATTCCCAAAATCCCATCCAAACCAGCACAGGGAATCCTGGAATGGTTTGGGCTGGGAGGGATCATCCAATCCCATGGCCAGGGACACCTCCCACTATCCCAGACTTTATCCTTTTTATCCATTTTATCCACTTTATCCACTGTCCAGCCTGGCCTGGGACACTTCCAGGGATGGAGCAGCCACAGCTCCTCTGGGAATTCCATCCCAGCCCCTCCTCATCCTCCCAGCCAGGAATTCATTCCCAATATCCAATTTAAATCCCATTTCTTTCCATTTAAAACCATTGCACCGTGAGGGGAGTGCCTGCTGCTCCTCCATCCTGCAATCCCCTGGGATATTCCCATGGATAATTCCCACTTTGGTTTGGGGTGGGGAGGGACCGAAAACCCCCCCAAAAACCCCTGAGGGCAGAACAGAGACCCCTCAGAGCTGGGGACAGTGATGCAACCAAACTCCTCCCTGTTTTTCTCTCCCTCTCCACGATTTGCAGAGATCCAGGATCCAGGTGTGGCTCTATGAGCAGGTGAACATGAGGATAGAAGGCTGCATCATCGTGAGTGCCACTGTCCCCTCATTCCTAAACCCATTTTTTCTCTTTTTTTTTTTATCCCCCATTAAAAAGCAGCGTGGGGTGGGAATGTTCCCGTTTCTCATGGGTTTGGGTTTTTTTTGGGAGGGGTTTTGGGGGGGTTTGAGGTGCCTGGCTGAGGTTGGTGCTGCTCTTGCAGGGCTTTGATGAGTACATGAACCTGGTGCTGGATGATGCTGAGGAGATTCACTCCAAAACCAAGTCCAGGAAGCAGCTGGGTAGGTCAGGGATGGGGTGGGAGGCTGGAATTTGGGGGTAGGACCTGAAATCGAGGTGTGGAACACAGAATTTGGGGGGTGGGACCTGAAATTTGGGTGTAGGAGCCTAAAATTCCGGTGTAAGGTTTGAAATCCAGATGTGGAAGCAGAAATCCAGGTGTGGGATCCCGGAATCAGGGACTGGGACCTGAATTCCAAGTATTGGACCCTAAAATCCAGATGTGGGGTCCTGGAACCAGGGGTTGGGACCTTCAATCCAGCTGTGAGACACAAAAACCACACCACGGGCAGCCCAAGATCCAGATGTGGCAGCCGAAAAATCCAGGTGTTGGGATCCAAAATGCAAACTCCAGGTGTTGGGAGCTGAAATCCCCCAGTTTTGGGGTGCTGGAAGCCGGGGGTGGGATCTGAATCCAGGTGTTGGGAGGTGTGGGATTGGAATCCAGCTGTGGGATTGGAATCCAGCTGTGGGATTGGAATCCAGCTGTGGGATTGGAATCCAGCTGTGGGCCAGGCAGGGTGCCAGCCCCACATTCCCTGATCCCCTTGGCTTCCAGGTCGGATCATGCTGAAGGGAGACAACATCACCCTGCTGCAGAGCGTCTCCAATTAGGCTGGAAAAATTCGGGATTGGGAGCTGTGGAAAAACCAGGAGGAGCCAGAGGAGAGATCCCCACCTTCCCTCGGGAATTCTGTTTTGTAGTTCGGGGCTTTCTGTGGGAAATAAAAATGGGTTTTTGTTTGTTTTTTGGGGGTTTTTTTTACACAAAATCTGGGAGTCTCGGGGAGGGGATAAATAAATTCCAGGTTTTTTTTCCCTGTGGGGTTGGATCCTGGAGCTCCCAGGTTTTCCCTTTGTCCCAAAACCTATCCCATCTTCCCCAAATCAATCCCTTCCTCCTAAAACCCATCCCTTCTTCCCAAAAATAATCCTTTCCCAAAGCAAATCCCTTTTTCCAAAACCGATCCCATCTTCCCAAAAATCATCTTTTTTCCCCCAAAACCAATCCCTTCTTCCTCAAAAATCCCTTTATCCCAAAACCAATCCCTCTTCCCAAACCGAATCCCTTTTTCCCAAAACCAGTCCTTTCTTGCCCCCCAAAACAATCCCTTCTTCCCAAAAATAATCCTTTTTTTTCCTTCCCCAAATCAATCCCCTGTTCCCAAAACAAATCCCTTTTTCCCCCCAAAAAAAATCCTTTTTCCAAACCAATCCCTTTTCCCCCAAAACGAACCCCTTCTTCCCAAAATTCCCAAAAAATAATCTTTTTTTTTAAATTATTTTTTTCCTCCAAAAGCAATCTCTTTATCCCAAATCCCTTTTTTCCCCAAGAAATCTTTTCCCAATCCTCCCCTAAACCGCGGCTCTGCCTCGGGATTTTTCCCCCCATTCCAGCATTTCCAGCTGGGAATTCTGTGGGAATTCTGTGGGAATTCTGCCTGGAGCGTCCCAAATTCCTGCCAGAACAGGAAAAAAAAAAAATTCCGGAGGGCTCCGGACAGAAGGGGGAGCTGCGGGCTCGGCTCTCCCCCATCCCAATCCCGGCAGGAATTCCCGGGATGAGGAGGAGGAGGAGGAGGAGGAAGGGGATGGGGGTAGAGCCACTCTGGGAAGGAATTCCTGGAGGAAATTCCCGGGAAATCCCCAAATCCTGGATGTGCCACAAATCCCACCTCAGGTTCGACCCCAAATCTCCAGGGATGGGAATTCCCATTCCTTCCTTTTTCCAGGGAGAGTTTTCCCCTTTCTCAGCTCCCACAAACCTCAAATCCAAAAGCTGGAGGGGTTTTTAGGTTTTCCCAGTGTGGGATTTATGGGGGAAAAAATCTTTTCCCTAAAAAAGGAATATTTGAGCCCCATCCCCGCCCAGGAGGGATCAAATCCTGGAATCCTGGAATGCAGGGGGAGCCCCCAGACCCCGCTGGGGCTCTCAGGATTGGATTTTTCCTTTTTTCTCCCCATTTGGATCAATATTTATCCCCCTTTCTGGAGATTTTGGGAATTTTTTCCCTCCCTCTGACACTCGGGAATTTCCCATCCCGGTGTTTTTGGGAATGTTCATCCCAGTGCCAGGGATCCCTCCCCATTCCCAGCCAGACTGGTTTTACTGGGATCGCTCCTGGAATGTTGCTGATCCCGGAAAGAATTTATGGGGTGGCCCTTGGAGGGTTCTGCGGGAATCTTAGGGGATTTTACACATTGGGATGCTCCAAAAAGAGGGAATTTTGGGAATTGGGTGGGGAGGGCACACCCAGCTCTCAGAATTTGGGAATTGGGTGATAAGAACAGACCCAACTCACCTGGATTTGGGAATTGGGTGAGAAGAACACACCCAGCGCTCCAAAATTCGGGAATTGGGTGAGGAGGGCACAACCAGCTCTTCAGAATTTGGGAATTTAGTGAGGAAATCACAGCCAGCTCCAGAATCCGGGAATTCACTGGGAAGGGCGCACCCAGCTCTCCAGAATTTGGGAATTTAGTGAGGACAGCTCTCCTGAATTTGGGAATTCGGCGAGAAGAGCACACCCAGCTCTCCGGAATTTGGGAATTTAGCGAGGAAATCACACCCAGCTCTCCTGAATTTGGGAATTCAGTGGGAAGAGCACACTCAGCTCTCAGGAATTTGGGAATTCGCCACGCCCAGCCCTCCCGGCCATGGCTGGTGGCACCTGCAGAGGTGACACCTCCGCCCTTTGTCACCCGCAGGGGGCCCGGGGGGGCAGCCCCGCTTTGGGGCCGTGACGGCCCCGGAGCCGCCCCCAGAGGGGTTTGGGGACATCTGGGCCCAAAAATCCGTTCGGGGACCCTTATCGGGCCGGAACCGTTGTGGGGCAGGGACCCGATGGATCGGCACTGATGGGGAGGAAGTGAGATAAGAGGGGAGCAGGGCAGGGGGGCCTCGGTGTGGGAGAGGAAATTGGGGGGCGGGGGTGGCCCCCAGGTGTGTCAGGCACCTTCTGGCAGCGTTCACGAACCTCCGGCAGCTCCGTCACCGCTGCCGCCACCCCGCTCCGTGTCACCTCCCCCCGTCCTCACACATTGTCACCTCCCCGGGGTGGCGGCTGGAGGGGATGGAGACCCAGGAACCCCCCTGGAGTCCCCCCCGGAATCCCAGAATCCCCCCGGAGC